CACCATTCCAAGTGTTAGAATTACAGGGTATGAAAAGTTTCAGACTAAATACAGCAGATCACATCTCTTAAGGCATTTCCTTCATGCTTATAGACAAATATCCTTGACAATAAGAAGACTGTTTTCAAAGGATTGTGTTTTTCAGGGATGTAAGGACTGGTACAGAAAGTCTTCATAGCCCATCGATGCTTTTGTAACCTTCTAGACTATTTTAATGATTAAAATGATTTGTTTACAGTTTTACACCTTAACAACCATGTTTTGGATTTGTAATAGGAATGGTGACAAATCCAAAATGTTTCCAGCCAAGCCCTCCCTAACACCCAGTCCTTAACAAAACATACTTTTTAGGGCTGTCAATTAATTGCAGTTGACTCACTCACGATTAAATTTTTTTGAGTTAATTGCGATTAATCACACTGTTAAACAATAGAATACCAATTGAAATGTATTAAATACTTCGGATGTCTTTCTACATTTTTATATAGATTGTATTCTGTGTTGTAACTGAAATCAAAGTATATTATTCTTGATTACAAATATTTGCACTGTGAAAGAAAGTAGTATTTTTCAATTCACCTCATACAAGCACAGTAGTGCACACTGTGTCGTGAAAGTGCAACTAACAAATGAAGACTGTTACATAACTGCATGCTAAAACAATGTAAAACTTCAGAGCCTACAAGTCCACTCAATCGTCGTCCTTGTTCAGCCAGTCGCTAAGACAAATAAGTTTGTTCACATTTACGAGAGATAATGCTGCCCTCTTCTTATTTACAATGTCAACAGAAAGTGGGAACAGGCATTTGCAAGACCCGCTACAAATGTGTCAGATACGCTAAACATTCGTATGTCCCTTCATGCTTTGGCTCCGTTCCAGAGGACATGCTTCCATGCTGATGACGCTTCTTAAAAGAATAATGCGTTAATTAAATGTGTAAAAAGAAAAGGAGTACTTGTGGCACCTTAGAGACTAACCAATTTATTTGAGCATGAGCCTTCATGAGCTACAGCCCACTTCATCAGATGCATACCGTGGAAACTGCAGCAGACTTTATATATACACAGAGAATATGAAACAATACCTCCTCCCACCCCACTGTCCTGCTGGTAATAGCTTATCTAAAGTGATCAACAGGTGGGCCATTTCCAGCACAAATCCAGGTTTTCTCACCCTCCACCCCCCCCCCCCACAAATTCACTCTCCTGCTGGTGCTAGCCCATCCAAAGTGACAGCTCTTTACATAATCAAGTCGGGCTATTTCCTGCATAAATCCAGGTTCTCTCACATCCCCCCCACCCCCATACACACACGAACTTACTCTCCTGCTGGTAATAGCTCATCTAAACTGACCACTCTCCAAGTTTAAATCCAAGTTAAACCAGAACATCTGGGGGGGATCTTGTAGGTGTTTGTCTCTGTCTGAGGGGTTGGAGCAAATGCGGTTGTATCGCAGAGCTTGGCTGTAGACAATGGATCGTGTGGTGTGGTCAGGGTGAAAGCTGGAGCCATGCAGGTAGGAATAGCGGTCAGTAGGTTTCCGGTATAGGGTGGTGTTTATGTGGCCATTGTTTATTAGCACTGTAGTGTCCAGGAAGTGTATCTCTTGTGTGGACTGGACCAGGCTGAGGTTGGTGGTGGGATGGAAATTGTTGAAATCATGGTGGAATACCTGCATGCCTCCAGCTTTCACCCTGACCACACCACACGATCCATCGTCTACAGCCAAGCTCTGCGATACAACCGCATTTGCTCCAACCCCTCAGACAGAGACAAACACCTACAAGATCTCTGTCAAGCTTTCTTACAACTACAATACCCACCTGCAGAAGTAAAGAAACAGATTGATAGAGCCAGAAGAGTTCCCAGAAGTTACCTACTACAGGACAGGCCTAACAAAGAAAATAACAGAACACCACTAGCGGTCACCTTCAGCCCCCAACTAAAACCCCTCCAACGCATTATTAAGGATCTACAAGCTATCCTAAAGGATGACCCAACACTCTCACAAGTCTTGGGAGACAGGCCAGTCCTTGCCTACAGACAGCCCCGCAACCTGAGGCAAATACTCACCAACAACCACATACCACACAACAGAACCACTAACCCAGGAACTTATCCTTGCAACAAAGCCCGTTGCCAATTGTGCCCACATATCTATTCAGGGGACACCATCACAGGGCCTAATAACATCAGCCACACTATCAGAGGCTCGTTCACCTGCACATCCACCAATGTGATATATGCCATCATGTGCCAGCAATGCCCCTCTGCCATGTACATTGGTCAAACTGGACAGTCTCTACGTAAAAGAATAAATGGACACAAATCAGATGTCAAGAATTATAACATTCATAAACCAGTCGGAGAACACTTCAATCTCTCTGGTCACGCAATCACAGACATGAAGGTCGCTATCTTAAAACACAAAAACTTCAAATCCAGACTCCAGCGAGAAACTGCTGAATTGGAATTCATTTGCAAATTGGAGACTATTAATTTAGGCTTAAATAGAGACTGGGAGTGGCTAAGTCATTATGCAAGGTAGCCTGTTTCCTCTTGTTTTTTCCTACTCCCCCCCCCCCCCCCCCAGATGTTCTGGTTTAACTTGGATTTAAACTTGGAGAGTGGTCAGTTTAGATGAGCTATTACCAGCAGGAGAGTAAGTTCATGTGTGTATGGGGGTGGGGGGGATGTGAGAGAACCTGGATTTATGCAGGAAATAGCCCGACTTGATTATGTAAAGAGTTGTCACTTTGGATGGGCTAGCACCAGCAGGAGAGTGAATTTGTGGGGGGGGGGGGGGGGGAGGGTGAGAAAACCTGGATTTGTGCTGGAAATGGCCCACCTGTTGATCACTTTAGATAAGCTATTACCAGCAGGACAGTGGGGTGGGAGGAGGTATTGTTTCATATTCTCTGTGTATATATAAAGTCTGCTGCAGTTTCCACGGTATGCATCTGATGAAGTGGGCTGTAGCTCACGAAGGCTCATGCTCAAATAAATTGGTTAGTCTCTAAGGTGCCACAAGTACTCCTTTTCTTTTTGCGAATACAGACTAACACGGCTGTTCCTCTGAAACCTGTAATTAAATGTGTGTGACTGAACTACTTGGGAGAGAATGTTATGTCCCCTGCTTTGTTTTACCTGCATTCTGCCATATATTTCATGTTATAGCAGTTTCGGATGATGACCCAGCACATGTTGTTCATTTTAAGAACACTTTCACTGCAAATCTGACAAAAGGGAAAGAAGATATCAATGTGAGATTTCAAAAGATAGCTACAGCACTCGACCCAAGATTTAAGAATCTGAAGTGCCGTCCAAAATCTGAGAGGGATGAGGTGTGGCACATGCTTTCAAAAGTCTTAAAAGAGAAACACTCCGATGAGGAAACTACAGAACCTGAACCACCAAAACATAAAATCAACCTTCTGCTGGTGACATCTGACTCAGAAGATGAACGTAAACATGCGACTGTCCACACTGCTTTGGACTGTTATCGATCAGAACCCGTCATCAGCATGGACATATGTTCACTGGAATGATGGTTAAAGCATGAAGGGACATTTGACTCTTTAGTGCATCTGGCACATAAATATCTTGCAACACTGGCTACAACGGCCATGAGAACACCTGTTCTCGCTTTTAGGTGACATTGTAAACAAGAAGTGGGCAGCATTATCTCCTGCAAATGTAAACAAACTTGTTGTCTGAGTGATTGGCTGAACAAGAAGTAAGACTGAGTGGACTTGCAGGCTCTAAAGTTTTACATTGTTCTATTTTTGAACGGAGTTATTTTCTGCACATAATTCTACATTTGTAAGTTCAACTTTCATGCTAAAGAGATGGCACTTTGGTACTTGTATTAGGTGAATTGAAAAAAATTTTTTTTTTACTGTGCAAATACTTGTAATCAAAATACAAGTGAGCACTATACACTTTGTAGGGTGTTGTAACTGAAATCAATATATTTGAAAATGTAGAAAACATCCAAAACTATTTAAATAAATGGTATTCTATTACTGTTTAACAGTGCGCTTAATTTTTTTAATCGCTTGACAGCCCTATCTTAAGTTAGACTTTTTTAAAATTAAGGGGAGCGAAAGGAGAAACAGGCTGTGATATGAGAGTTGTGCAGTTGAATACTCTAATTTTTAAAGTTCCAATTATGCACAGAGTCCACAACTGACCTTGAAGTCTTGGCTCCATAGATGAGAGATGCCATCCCTCCTGCATGGTTTCAAAGCTGTCATAACTGAGCATTAATCTTAATACTCCTTTAAAGAGATAGCAGAACTTCCTTTTTTGATTTTTTTTTTGTGTGGGGGCTTCTCCTCCATTCTTTTCTATCAGCCCATCTGAAGGCAGACAGTGCCCACAGTATTCATATGCTGCTCTTAGGTTCCACACAGCACAAGGCAAGTTAGTAAGATGGAAGCCTTGGCTTTAATTGAAGTTAGAGATGAAAGACTTGTAGGTAATCTTGTCCATGTTTCTCCCAGTGCAGAATAATTCCCTACACTGTAGTCAAAGTTGCTTTTGTAGGTTTAAGTCAACAGTTGTGTTTTGTTTGTCCAAATATGGAAGCTCTAAAGCACTAAAGGCACAGATGCCATGGTGCAGGTTGAAATAATATATGGAAAGCTACAAGAGCATGAACACAGGAGCAGGGTCAAAAAAATATTTTCTGTCATATAATTAAGGATTTTACCCCAATCAAATATTTTTGTATAATTTAAAAAATAAAATGTTTCAATAAAACAGGCTAGACGATAAGTTTGTGTGGCTTAGAAAATGGATGTTATGAAGCAATATCTAATAGAATCCTACAAGAGACATTCCACCAGTTATCTCCGATAACCATTTACTTTCAAATATCTTGGTAAGTATTTTAGTAGAGTTGATGGCATGAGATCAAACATTTCGATAATTAGGGTTTTCTAGTCTCTCTTCTCCCCAGTTTTAAGCCACTGAAGCACAAATGTGAGAAGCCATGTTTAAAATAAAACAGACATTCAGTTTGCTTTATTCCAGGTTTTTGTTAACCAAGTAAAGGACCAAATTCTGCTCTCTTTACTCACACAAGTAATCCTATTGACTTTCACGGGGCTACATCCACAAATAAGAACTTAACACTGCCTCTTCTTTAAAGAAAACACAGTTTAACTGTGGAGCATTTTACCCATACACAAATCAGAGATTCTCAGTAATAATGCAAATCCTTTAGCAACAAGTTTAGCCTGCTTAAGAAAAACTATCTGTCCTCAAAGTCACATCTTCAGCCCATGAACCCTTGCCTTTGTAGCTGCAATATTTTCAGTGCACATCCTACTGCTTGGGCCAAGGAGTTAACTGTATAGATAACAGTCTAATATTAAAAGGTATATTTTAAAGCTACTATTATTCACCATTTAGGGAGAAATTCTAAAAGCTCATCACATTAGTCATTCATTTTCTACAAAGGAAGGTTAGAATGCCGCTGCATTGCTAAGGATATGTTTTCAAAACTAGTATCAAGGTTTTTTTGTATAAAGAAAAAAAAGTGCTGAGTAGCCCTGTACACCAGTTCTGAGTGCTGTATTACAGTGAGGTGTTAGTTTGTCAAAGTCCTTACAACAACATCTCCTGTCATGAGCAATATGCTCAAGGAACAGGCAGAAGAATATCATATTATCCTGAAATATTTTCTCCCCAGAAGGGTGAAATTGCAACAAATAAAAATGCACATAAGGCTTCTATGTTTTCAGTTAGTGTAAATGAAATTCCATTACAATCATTCCTTGCAATTGTCCCTTGAGAATTTTGCTCCAGTACTGTATGCAAAATAATAATAATCTTGGATAATCTTACAAAGGGATATAATGTAAGAAAATGTATATATTTCTAATAATGGTTTTCATTCAGCTTGCTTCATTTTTACTTTACCTTATCACTTGACTGATCCATTTATATATTAACTAGTGCAGGTCCATAAGTGGCCCATGTTAAGTGCTATTTTTTATTAGCAATTCTTCTCTTTCTTGTTGCCAGCATATCATAAAAGGGATCCCTGCTGATACTTGCTCTAGTGGAAGGAAGAGGAGATATCAATTTAGTTTATAAAACATGCATTACCCAAACACATTTGTTTACCTTTCCTTGTCTAGAGACCCAGAGCTGTAATATGTTGGTAGGCAAACGCATCCTTACAAAAATCAGCAACAAGATTTTCAGGTAGTTACCAGAGGAACATACTGCTACATTCTTTTCTCTTTAGCCAACTTAAGTTCTCTCATATTTGCTTGATTTTCAGTTCACAGTACCCGGAACAATAATGTCTCAAAGTGCTTCCTTTGGCTTGACGCATCTTGCCCCAGCATCCCCTTCCAGCTAGTCATGAATCCTCAGGAAAGGCCCTTGCCTATGGCTACTGCTTAAATAGTTCTTTAAGGCATGTTCCTTAGCACAGCACACATTCCCGGATTCTTTAATTGGAAAGGAATTTATATACAATTTACACTTCAGCACTTTTGAAAGACATTTAAGAATTTGAACTCACTTAATAGATTTGATCCACTCTTCCTTCTCTTCGGGGGTGGGGGCAGATATCCTGTACACAACATGGTTGCCTTCTACCACTCTACCATCAGCTTCAGTTTTACAGGCTTTAATTACTTGACCTTTATGGCTGGGGTTATAGAGCTCAAAGCAGTTCTAAAGATAAAGAAATAACCAAAGCTTGATACAAGGAAGAACTGAAGATCTGCATGTACAATAAACCTGGGTACCCTGGCTGTTACTTAAAATAACCCATTTACTAGGCTCATTAAAAGGAAAAATTCTTACTGGTTTTCTTGGATCTTCAACTTCTCTTATACTAAGATTTTCTAAAGGAATAATTCCTCTAGGTTCTTTGTCCTAAAAGACAGGAAGAGTACACATTACTATTTAGTTATACTTTTTACTCCTCAGGGAATTCTGCGCCAAAAAAATTAAAAATTCTGCATATTTTATTTGTCAAAATAACAATATAATCACACCTGTTTCAATTATTTTTGGTCATTTGTTTCAAAATACCCATCAGCAAGTATGTCTAACAATACAGACAACAAAAAAGATTCAGGAAATGTTTTTTGACAAATAGATTCCTTACTAGGCATATTAATACAGAACTCTGAGTAATAATTCATTTAAACTACAATACAGAACTGTATTTCCTGCACCCCTCAGAAGCAGTGCAAAGGCCTGGGGCAGTTCGGGAATGGAGGAATGAGGGAGAGGCAAATAAATTGCTGGGAAGGAGTCTGGGTGTGAACTTGAAGGGTTGTTGAGTATAGGTGGGAAAGGCATGAAACAGGTTTATCTGGGGGGCAGGGAGGGATTGTTAGGGAGCTTTCCCCCATGTAGACCCTGGCTGACCCCTAGCCTCTCCCATTCAGTCAGGCACATCTGCCCATCCCCATGTGTTCCTGCACCCCCACATGTCCCTCCACCCCCACTCAGACACCCACTGCCCCATCCCCATGTGGCCCTGCACCTTCCCCCTGTTCCCATTTGACTCTGTCCTCCCACCCCATCTCCGCATGTGTCTGTGCCCCCACCCAGCCATTCCCCTTTCCGTACGTAGCTCTGCACCCCTCCCCCATTACCATGTGGCCCTGCACCTCCCTCCCCACTGTAGCCCTGTGCCTCTAACTCCTATTCATCCCCTAGTCTGACCCCAATCCCCCGCAGCACCCCAAGCTGTCTGTATCCCCATAGTCCATGTCGCCTGGCCTGACAGGCACTGCAAAGAAGGCGCTACAGGCTTTGGTCTATTACCACAGCGCCCTCCGGTGGGCAAAAGGCAGAACTGCAGCAACATTACGGCAGCAGCTTTTTTGCACAAAAAATTAAAAGTATGCGTGGCTCGTTAATTATGTGCATGAGCAGTAGCGCAGAATTCCCCCAGGAGTAACTTTTGGATTCCAGACACAGGTTCACAGCAATATATACTTACTGTTGTGTATTCAAAATAATACAGGCAATTATCGGTCAGAATAAACCATCTCCGCTTCCATGTTTTTACTCTTCCCCCTATAAATAGAAGACACCACTAACTTAAAACTGTTTTATCATCAAGATTCTAGGCTACGGATAAGACAGTAATTTAGTCGTTACTTAATGTTTAATGGTTTTTAAAATATGGCTTAAATGCTTAGTTGCAAATGGATAAGACACAGATGAGTTAAGGTTAAAAGGAATATAAGTTTCCTGGTAAATATAGCAATACTAAAGGACAAAATCCTGAAGAAACATTAACTATGGTGATGCTGACACACCACCTTACCAGCTTCTGAACTTAGTGTTATTCTATTCTTAAATGAGTCCACGTGAAAACAGTACTTACTGAACAGATCTGCTCCCTGTCTGTGTTCAGTCATATCTGCTTACTATAGCGACAAGTATAGTATTAATAATATTTATCCATTACCAGTACAGCATCAACAACACTTGGGGAGAGGGAGCTGGATCATCTATTGAATTGTTTTCTAGGTTCCAACTGCAGGACCAGATTCTCAGATCCGTGCAACAATGGGGTTCCAGAGGTGAAACTAAGGGCAGAATTTGACCTGCCATAGCTTTTACTCATGATGATGCACAAGTCATTTAAGAACCCAGACTGACTTTCAGATCCCAGGTTGAGTTTCCTGTGGCTGACAGTTAAAAATGTTTGCTCAGCCCACAAGTAAAAATTTCTGTAATTCTTTACAATTCCACTATTTTTTAAAATCAGTTTCCAGAAAAGAACTGCAGATCAGGCATTGGCAAGTTATTAATATCCAGGTTGAGTTACAGCATACTTAAGTGATTTCAAAGTTATATCACCACATGTGCATCATCCGTTCATCAGTGATTTAATCTTATTACCCCACCCTCTCAATATCGTTGACCTTGTTATTCAATACCCTGAGCACAAAAATCTTTTACCGCCAAAGACACCCTCAACCAAGGATTTATCATTTTAACATCAATCATGTAACTAAATCCAGCACATAAACATAATTTTTATCTGTAGCTCTTCCTTACTCAAGAAGGTTAAATTTTTGTTTAAACCATGAAAAACATCTGAGGCTAGAGAACAATTGTAGAAATGGCCTGAATATCCTGGAACTTTATCTATTCGCCTGCTGGGTTCTTGTCTTGCAGATTGGGTACTATTATACATCATATCCTCCTTTTGGCTGGTTATAGGACCCGCAGTAGGTAATCCACTGCTAACACTATGTAACATTCGCATTTACTCAGCAAATTGTACACTTCCACCACACACATACACCTATTTTAAGGAAACAATTTGAAAGTGGAAGAGGTCAAGAACTAAAAGACAGGCAAATGCAAGATGCAAAAGCCAAGACAGAATCAATGGTGGTAGAGTGAGCTACAAATGCAAAGCATGAGGGAAGAAGAGCAGGTGTCAAGTGGTGAGGGACATCAGAGACAGGAAAGATCTTAATTTCTGCATCTTGATGACAATGTTTTAATGCATCATAGGTCTGTTCCAGCTTCCATCAAAGTCAATTGAAAGGGTTTAAGCTAGAAGTGGAAAAGCCAAAATAAACCTTAGCCTGACTCAGTTCTGGATCCATGAATGAGAAGCAGCTAAAATAACTATTAGGGCAGTTCTACCTTGTTGTCATTGTGACATTACATATTTTTCATATTATATAGTGTAAATTCCAATTATTTTAGCTCATGTTCTGCCTTGTAAGTTGGCCAAGTCCTTGGCTTTGTTTGAGTTTGACTACCATCAAAAACTTTACAGCTTGCCCAGATCTATTATATGAAGAGATTCAGTGGGGCAGGAAGTTGTAGAGCAAAATGGATAGGAAAATACTAAGTCTCAGAAAAACAAATAAGCAGGGAAACTGGTAACCACTGCAAAGACATCTTAGACTGAAGATAACAAAAGGAGAATTATGAACTCTTATACAAGGTCAGATTAGAATAAAAGGCAGATAGGAAACTATACACATTGTAAGAAGGCCTGCACAGAGACTCCAAAACCAGACAGGGCAGACTTCAACAACACTAGTAGTGTCCAGAATTAAAGTAACAGTAGTTTGGGGGCAGATTATATGCCATTTGACAGCTGATAAAGGACAGCGGGCATTCTGCACTCACCAGTTTATCAGGTGAGTCAAGAGTACCCACCGTAATATCACAGGACTAGAAAATAAGATGCTCAATATGACTTATTGCTCATAATGTCACATTTAAGATTATTGGGTAACTATCACATAGCAGATCTTTTTCTTCTTGGTTTCAGATGCCTTAGGCTGCCAAAATGATGATATAGCACTTTGAATTAACTTTCTTTTATATCCCACTCCTGCTGTCAGTTTAAAAAGATACATTTTAAAGGATATTAAATTGTCAAAAGAGAGACTGGAAACAAAGTATGAAACCATAAGTATTTAAAGAACAGATCAAGATATAATCTACACAAAGATTAGATTTGTGTCACAAAGACCAAGCTAATAAAGTAAAATGAAAGGAACAGCACCAATAATAAGCAGCACAGAGCAGAAAGGCTTAAAGGATCCAGTAGATGGATAATCCAAGGGAATCATCCAGAAATTCTACATCAAGTGAATATAGAGAAGAGAAAAAAATGCAACAGACCCGCTCTTTTCACGTATATAATCAGATTATAGGAAATTCTCTCATCTCAAAGGGAACTAGAAACCAGAAAACAAAAAGAAAATTTTTAGGGGAAAAAAAGATGGAGAAGTAAGTAATAATTTACCCATCACAGTTCATTAAAAATATTAAAGGGTCTTAAAATTGCCTAAGCATCAGAATAAGACAATTATGTATTTCAGGTGTAAAAAAAACATTTTTTTTTTAAAACCCCAGTAATGTCAGCACATCCAGCTCAGTCAAGGTGATTTAGAGAACTAGAGAGTGGCTAAAATTGTCATAAAAAAAAACTTAAGAATGATTTTGGATTAATTAATGTCAGTGCAGTTAAATGCAAAGGTTCAGAAGCTAATTTAGTGCCTGGAAGAGTACACAATGAATATGTGTTTCCACACACACAAGAAATTTGTCCAGTAATACCGTACAAGACTAAAATCACATCAGCTATAAAGGGAATGATTCAACTGAAAGGAGCCCCACAAGCCAGTTTCCTAGCCACCAGTCCCTCTTTCAAGAGAGGGGAAGAGAAGTAGCACCCTCTTTAGAATGCTGTGCTGGGGGCAAGTACCATGTACGGAGTGGGCTAGGAAGTCTGGGCTCTTTGAGAATCCTTTCATATGCACAGCGAGTTGCCTGATATTCTAGTATAGGAGCAGCTGCTTCTGCTGCTCATGGTCACATGTCCAGCTTAAGTCACTTCCCTCTTCTGTCAGCAGGATATATATTTGTTTCCAAGTATCTATTTTTCTCCCTCTAACCAGAAAAAGGAAATGATTCAAGCCACATTAATTGTAGCTTTTTTTAGTACGAGACATTTTGGGTCAGCTATTTGCCAACAGAAGCTGTTCTTAGAAAACACACACACATGCTGGCACAAAAGAATTATGTCCCAGGCATTCCCTCCATCAATGCTCATGTCCAGCTTTAAATTCTTAATTGGAGAGGGAAGGGGTTCTCCTTGCACCAACAATTCCTTTATTTGGCCCATAATTAATCTTTATGCAAATCTTGAGAACAGTCCCCAAAATACTAATGTCTCAAGCTGTTACAAAGGATATTTGATTAGCATTCACCAGTCTTCAGCCACTTTACTTGCCACCTAGATGTTCACTGTACCACGTTAGACGGCATACAATCTTGTGAATTAAGAGAGCAAGTTGAGTACTTCCATACAAATGCACTGGTTGAATCCACACCGATGTTCTAAATCAAAACATTACTTCTTGAAATCCAGTTCTGGCACTTAGATTTGGCAGGATTTTATTTACACAAAGTCACCTCTGAACAGCTTTCCACAGGCAAGCCCTCAGAAAAACAAAGTGTTTTGCAGGCCAGGGACTTTAATGACATTATTAGGATGGTTTCAGAGCCAGACTAGCCTCTGGAGACCTTGGAGTTTTTGGGCAGATGAACTTTACAAAAAATACTAACGTAAGAAAAGTCATGCTCTTGGAGAGAGCAGTGAAGTGAGCAGTAGTTCCAAGTGAAAGAAAACAAGGAAGCATAACAAGGCAAAACAGAAAGCACTAGCTTGATATACCAGTGGCTTCTTCCTGTTCTGATCTCTTATTTTTTCAGAAAACATATTTTCTATCTTCAAGAGTAAAGCAGATAACAGCACAATTGATAGTCTTCATTTTTTCCTACTCATTATACAAATCAAGACTCCTTAGTATTTTGATAATGAATGTTTGAGTATTCAAATACTTCTTTAGGCAGAGCTTCACTAATTTAGGAATAATACAATGTGCTAAGAGAGAATGTGACTTAACACTGGGAGTTGGAATAGCCCCCGACATCATACTAATATATTGGTCAAGCTTCCCGGCAACAAGAAAATTGAAGGGATAAAAGAAAAAAAAAATCACCAGGTTTATTTCTGTTCACTGCATTCATGGCTCTACAGCTTACTAACTTAGCAAAAATATTTGTCTGCACCAGTCTGTGTCTATTGATGAAACACAAGTCCCTCAAGAAACAGTTGGCTTTACATATTTACAGTCTAATTCACAGGAAAATTACTGACATGTTTCACCTCCCTATCCAATTAACCCTTGTGCTGTGGGCATTTCAACAGCAGCACCTTTCAGTTTAATGCATGCTCTTATCACTGGGACTTCGGTAGAATTGTTTGTTTAGTGGGCACATAAAGATGAAAGCTTGGTTTTACTTGGTTCATGTGTCACTGGAGCCACAGGTAGAGCACCCAGAAATAAATGGCGATTTTATTGATTTATTGCATTTTTCTTAAGTTCGTTTGCATCTCTAATTTCTTAAAGCTCTCATTCTTTTTTCATTGACTATTTCTTTTGCAGCTGATGCTTTACCACTATCCTTCAATTTGTCCTTTCCCACTGATTGACAGTGGATAAGAAATATTCATGGCATTACTGACATGCTCACATCCAATTGCTTTTCTTGCAAGGTGATATTTTTAAAAGTAAAATAAATATAGTTGCTGATTCCAGATTTTTATTTTAATTTCAAGAAAAACACCTGTATTTATTTTGACATTTAAGTTTCACCTTTAAGAGATTTATTTCCGTTATGAGCTATTTCTCAAAGGTTGGCATGTATAACACTTTTTCATGTAGAGGAGTCTGATTAACTAAATATCTTCTATATTATACAATTCAGTTATAATAGTTTTACTCCTTGGAGTAATTTAAAAAGGGAGTTACTATAAATTAAAGTCACTACTGGTGAAGGTAAAGTTATTGCATAGTAGTATTTGCAAGTAGATTTTTGTATATATTTAAAAAACATCATCAAAAGTTTTAGATTTTAAAAAACTGTAGATAATATTAATATTGAAAATAATTTGAGTAGTAAGAGACTTATCTGGATGGTTTTTGTACTAAAATATTTCTCGTTCTTGAAGTCTTGTCTTAAGAAATCCTTTCAGTTGAGGTGAGCACTGCCACATACTGTTGAATGGATAAATTTATCAGCTCTTCAAGTCATCTTTCAATTTGTCTCAACTATGAATACTGTGCCTCTTAAGCCATTTATGTCTTCAAACATCAACAGGAAGACGCTCTGCTTTTTTACTTAGGAACACAAAGAGGGTATTTGAGGATTTTGCAGTGTTCGTAACATCTGCAGATGAAGTAATGGAGACAACCAAACAGCAAGTCTTCTGGCCATAGGCCACATAGCAGGGGGTGGTGGGCCGGGGGGAGCACATAGGCCATGGCCCAACCACTTTTTGGCCAGGCCAAACCTGACAGGTGCTGTAACCCCACACACCAGCTTGCAACTCCACTTACTCAAAATTGGAGGGAGTGCGTATAAGGGCTCATGGGAAGGAGGGCCAGGCTGCTGGTGGGGGAGGCACTTGAGAGGGAAAGAGAGGGGTCAGGCACGGAGGGCAAATTTATGGGGGCCTCCACTGTAAGTGGCCCTCTGCAGCCCTTGCTCCCGGCATTGTGTTCTCAGGGCTCCATTGCAAGAGGTGCCAAGCACCCGCAACTGATGCCAATGGACATTGAAGGTGTTTAACACCTGAAACTATGGGGTCCTGAAGTAGCAAACTGGCAATGTCTCCAATAGCTCTCCCCCCAAGGCTACAATATTTTTGAGGTGGCCCCTACTGCTGAGCTTATTAGAATGTATTCTTAATAAACTGATACTGCCAAAGCACTTGTGCCCATACACTCTTCCGTTCACTTGGTTGTTACTAGCACAGAAGTAAAGAGTTGAACAACTGAGTGAATTTATGGACTATGGATATTGCTACATTATAGTTCCTATCAATATTAATACATCTATCTACAATCCACAGCCATTTTCACATCAGTTCCTAAGATTTAAAAATTAATATAAACCAGCGTGATATGAGACCATACCAGCGTTGGAGGCATTCTGCCTACAGGGGACAGAGAGGCTAGGGAAGCACATGCAGTAGCTATCATTGTTACATCTTTTTCAAGGATGCCACAACCAGCTGTCACAGATTCACAAGTCCAGTGCTCTTGAAGAGCCCCTGCGAGTGTCTCAACCCTCGTATTTCCTGCCAGCCCCAGCCTCAGCCCCAACATCTAGCTGGCATGGACACAGGTGAGCCCTTGCTCTGCCTTCAGTGTGCCTCCCCTCTGTCAAGTCCTGCTGGCTGCTCTTTAATTCCTGCTGACCTTGCACTCAGGGATCATCAGGATTCCTGGCTGCCTCTGAGCTGGAGCAAGGTTCCTCTTATACAAGAGCAGCCAGAATCTGGCTCTGAAATTGAGTAGATTTTGGTCTTTAAATCAGTATTTTAAAACAAAAGGAACAACATTTAAAAAAAAAACCTAAAACCAAGTTTTAGAGTCTGTTCTAATCAGAAAAATGACTACCCTTTGCAGCCGGCTGCCTTATTACACTCCAATGGATAAGCAAGCCACATCAACTTCAGAAGTGTCTGCAAACAAATCAGAGCAGCTTAGAGTTGCAGAGCTAGCATGCTACCAACTGCCAGAGGCTTCAGAATCCTGAACTCTGAGGTGTTTTTATATGTAATTAAAATAAACTGAACATAAAAAAAAACCCACACAAGAAAGTTACTTTGGAATAACCAGTCTTTTTAGCACATGCACATTTCTGCTAGAGGCTATTTTGTTTAAAATAAGCCTTTCAACATTCTGACAGAAAATTTTCATACAAGTAACAAAACACATTTTAGAACGTGTGTTACAAGAATAAGATAACTGCACTTCTCTGCTGCGAAAAGTACTCCTCTCATTTGTATACCTCAATGAGCCTGAAGGAAGTTGTGAAGCAATCTGAAACACTAACTATCATTGTGTTGCTTTACAAGTATATATTCTTATTTTGTAGAAGAATCTCATGGGGGGAGATAGTAAATTACTAACACCATAATGTACAAGCATACGTTATGTACAAGTAGAGTCCCACTGGGGCTAAAGTTAGTGACATTACATGAGAAGCGCAGTGCTACAATAAATTTGATTTAAGAAACAAACAAAGAAGAAGAAAAATAAAAAAAGAATGAGCAACTGAACAAGGGGGGGGAGGGAGCTGGAAAGCCATCAGGTACGTACCTCCTAATGCAGAATAAGCAGAGACAGCCAGTCACAGAACAGAAAGGTGATAGGTCATAGGCCATAAGGAAAACAAGAAGGCACATTTAAACCACTCATTAAAAATCACAGCCAAAACCAAACCAACAGAAACTCACAAATAATATGGAAAAATGGAGACATACAAAAACAACTATTTGAAAATAAATGCATTGCTTTTTGTGCAGAAAACTGAGCTGAAGTGATTGTACAGTTTTCTGGAATGGTTTCACATAGATTTGTTATTTTTCAGTCACTGGGATTTGTAAATAGTAAATGGAGCTTCCTTTCTGCTGCTGAGGTTTCAGTTCTCAAGTACCAGAAATCAAACTCCACTTCAAAATTCAAGTGACAAGATTATGTCTCCTTTTTATACCGGTCAGAATTAGCAATTACACAAAACAGTGTAAAGGAGTTACTGATTTTTAGATCATATATTTTTAAGCAGGAATTATTGCTAATTTAATCCTATTAGATTTACAACAAAGCAGTTAGCAAGGAAAGCGGCATACACATCACTCACACACAAAGCAAAGTATCAGAGAAATTCCTCTTCTACTAACCTAATTTCAGTAGCCAACCTTCTCTGTCTGGATTAAAAAATGTATGTGTTAGATCATTCCCGTCATCTTCTGGAATTTTAAATGGCTCATTTTTAATACTTTCATACAAATTCTGGAAGAAAACAAACAAAACAAAAAATTCAGCAACACATACATAACCGATAACCAAGAGATTCCGTTCTCTCTTCTCAGACTACTTATATAAAAATGAACTAGGAACATCTCCCACAGAAACTGGAACCATTCCTCCTCTAAGCAGCATTCACCACAGTCTATAAATAAAGTTAAAAGGAGATATAGTGTCTTTGTAAATAAGCGTCCCCTTTTGAAGATTTCCTGTGTATTTCTCAGTAAAGAAATAGCTTTTCTTAAGAAGTTTGGCACTCATTTTTTCCAGAGCTTTCATATTTTCAACAGTTTTGCTCAATACAAGCTTCACTAAAAAAAATTGTTTTTGAAAAATATTAGACATCACTGACTTGAAAATCACAATCAAATGTCTGACATCTTTGTATCATTACTTTTCTTCCACAGTAGGTCATGATGGCTGTCTTTGGAGCCTCAGTGATCTCTACTATTTTCCCCCCTTTATTCTCCCCACACTCAACCTGATGTTGAACAGAGCAGATTCCAGTCAAGACAGACTGGCTGTAGCGATATATCCAATCAACATTGCTCTAAAAGCCAAAGAGGTTGCTTGTTGAGTGAAGCAAGGTGTTTCTTCCTCTCAATCCCTCAAGGGGCTGAGGTATATTGCAAGCTCATGGTACTTGGTTGTCAAAGATGCATCACACAAAATGATCTTGAGACACTAATTGACAGATTAGTCTAAGAATCCTTGCACTTGCTTCTAAGCCCCACTTCAAAAACCATGAGGTGCCACCTGGTCATCTTAATGCAACTTACCCGTAGCAGTTCTTCTGGAAGGTCCCCACCTTCATTAATGCCACGATTCATAGATATAAACCGCTCCACTGTTGGTTTATCTCTTACATTATGGTTGTGTAGACTAGTATTTAACATAATGATTGCAAATGATAGCACATAGCATGTATCTGAAATAACATTGAAAAGGAGTTATTGCTCTGTGTACTGTAGTATACAGTAGCCTGTAAAAGAAACCCCAGGCAGTTCTGAATAGCAAAGAAAGGGAATTATGCACGTCTCCTCCTCCCCACCAAAAAACAACAAAACCCTACATACAAATACAAGAGTAAGTCTTGAGTTCTTTGGTGTTAACCATGGACATATATGGGCGGTCTAAAAATAGAAAATGACCTAAGGATCCAGATCAGAGGAAAAACTTTTGAATGCTCCCTCAAAACACAGGACCTGTTAACTTTCAAATATGCCATCTATCAGCTAACAGTTTGTATTTGCTTTTTGTGACACAAACCACGTAGGTTATTTGTGCACATTTTATCTTCAACGTTTTTGCTCCAAGTTACCCCCCTTGTTCCTTCAACACTGCGCTGTGTTTGTAAATCTGTTTTAAAGAGTCCAGGTTTAAATGTTAGGTTATTTTCCCCTCTTTTTTGCCAAGTGGTTCTCCTAACGTTAGTCCCTTGAGTTTTATTTTTAACGTGTTTTGCTTTTGCATTTTTGCTTCACACACAGATGATGAGGCATAACATTCTGGCATTTGCAGAAATTGGTCCCCACCCCAAAAAATCAAGAAATCTCAGAAATATTGCTTATTTTGATACAGCAGCGTTCTGCTGTAGCATCTTCTACCTTCTAGTTTGTCCCATTTTACTACAGACCTTTGGAGGCATTTGTATGATATGTTGCACTTTATTAATAGTTTATTTAAACCATTGTTTTAACACAGCTAGGAAGAAAGATGTTTTTGATCCAATCTTGCACCTTTTCCTTAAAAATAAGAAGTAGTGCAGGATTAGGCCCTTTGTTTTGCCCACACCTCAGAACATTCTTGTTTTTCATTTCACATACTGTCTTAGCCTGGACTTCCAAGTTTGCCGCTGTGATAAATGAAGTGTGTGTGGAGGAGTAGCTCCCTTTGATGGACACCCAGCCAGTCCTCTTGGTAGCTGTTCTCTACTTGCTTTACTTGTAAAGGGTTAAAAAGTCCCCCAGGTAAAGAAAGTACAGAACAGCTACCAAGAGGGATTTTACAGCTAACTGGTTGGCTGGGTGTCCATCAAAGGGAGCTACCGCTCTCTCCCCCCTACACCCACTTCATTTATCACAGCCGCCTTCTCTTTGAATTCAAGACAGTTTAACACGTGATCTGACAAATGATATAATAACGGTGATTCTGATAGAAAATGTATCATGACTAACCTGTAGACTGAAAGACTCCAGGGTTACAAAGGCAATAGCGCGAAGCAAAAGCTTCCATCATACGATCAATTTTCTGAGCCTCTCCTGGAAGTCTGAAACTCCATAGGAATTGCCTAGAAAAGGGAAGCATAAACCCTTCAGTAAAATAAGATCCATTCCAATATTTATACATTAGACATATACTGGCAATAATCAGCTTTTAAGCAGAAATTAGTCATTTGTAAATAAAATGAGAAGTTATTTTAAAACAAATCTCAAAATTCAACTAATAAGGAATTAGAAAATATTTAACTCAGCACTCAGCGAACAGCACTGCACGTTCACAGGCAAGACAACGTATTCAGGCAAGACCACATAGTCTGGTACAAATTTTGCAATTCTCTCCTTTTCCATGTTGGCAGAAGCGGGAAATATGTAGGAGTCCATGCTCTCTAACAAGCTGTACCACAGTGTTTCTTCACTGCTAAAAAGAGTATATTCTTCTCAGGACTTTGTTGAAAGGAAAAAAAGAGGGCTGTATTATACATAATAGCCCAGAACAAAAAAGGTGGACTAAAACCCAATATCTCCATTTGAATCAACCAGACATGATGAGTCAATGCAAGATGGATAAAGGGACAGATTATGCTATCATGGCCAGATCTTAAAAAAGGAAACGTGACCCCTCAATATCACTGCGATGGGATTTAAATTCAGATACAGGAAATAAGTGTTCCTATTACAAGTATGAAATAAAAAAGAGTAGGTTTTGCCTTCTTCTTGGATTGCTCTTTAAAAAAATAAATCGAGTTGACAGGGATATAAAAGCTGCAATAAAACGTTAAGCAAAATGACTGCAAGAACTGATCTAAAATTAAAAGTACTATAGATTACAAATGGTGATTAAAATAAGATCCAAAATAATAAAATTATGAACAGAACAGCAATATTGGCGTTAAAACAGAGTTAAAACAGGAAAATGATGTTCTCAAGTGCTGTACACATAAAAAAATTTTCACACTTCCTGTTGGCATAGCAGTTTAGGAATTGTTAGTCTTGTTCTTAAGTCCAGCCATCAAAGCTACAACTGTAAGGCAAAGTTAGGGCAGACAGCACAGCCTCTTGTTTGTGGCTCTACTTCTTTGAAGCTGGCCAGTTGAAATGATTTTGTGTTCATAAAATAGGAAGTAAATATCCACATCCCTAAGATAATAACGTCAAAAAAAAGAAACTGACGATTAGGTACAAAAAAGTGCAGTCTAAAAAAAACTTCCAGTGGCTGATATTTTTACAACACTTCTGTAGAAAGAGTGAATCTGCTTTCAGTAGGGGTGCCTTGTTGACATTTTAACATTAAGCTTCCCAATTCATGAAAGTGAAGACCAAGAGTATTTGCAAGCAAAACAGAGTATCTTAGGACATTTGTAATGGGTCACAGAACCTTTAATATCCAAGCTGCCAGTTCTAAACCACGCCAGATTAGCAGTGACGGAAAGAAGTTGCATCAGATTACTGTTTGGTAGCATAAATGAAGTTAATTTTAATGGTCTAAAGCTCATTCCTGGTGGACATGTGTGTCTCAGCACAAATGGGCCCCTTGCTGGCAGCCTCAGAGAGAATGCACAGTTGACTGGGCATGGAGAGTGAACTGACACTACCTATGCTACACCTCTTCAGTGCACGAAATGAAAAATTTCGCCTCACAACCAGCAATCCAACACTTGCCATATGTTCTAAATAGAACTGGTCTGAGAAATTTGGATGGAGCCATATTTTGTTGAAATATGCAGTTTTGTCAAAATGCTTCAAGAAATCAAACCAATTTTGCACAAATTTTGTTTAAAAAAACGAAAACAGGAAAAAGTCCTGACAATGTCAAAGAGTCAAAATCAAAAACAAACATTTCCATTTGTCTAAATGAAACATTTTGAACAGTCTGAAAAAATTCTTTAAAAGGAATTTTCCTTTGGAGAATTCTGAAATTTTTGGTTTTCATTGCAATTTGGAATGAGGCTAAATTTCAAAATCTTTAAATCCTTCACATAGCTCTAGTACTAAATTCACTTACAGCATATTTTAGGTGCCAAAACCAAGCAAAAGCTTGCCAGACAGGTTAATATAAAATAAGAGAGAACATTTTAGGTAAAGGATACATGAAATCAAGCAGTTTCCTAATTGTTGTACTATAATTGTTTTGTTATTGTTGGTTTGTTTGTGTTCGGTTTGACAACTTTATGGATTTGGTACAACGTAACTGAAATTTTGCTGCAATAAATCAATGTTGGTCAATTTTAGTATCTTCCACAGTCTTTCAGTTTCACTTATAAAATTCAAGATTTGTGAAAACTCAAGCAAAAATACTACTGTATATATAGATAAGTCACTATACTCCCCACTGTCCTATATCATAAAACAAATATTTTGCATGCCCTATATGGCACGTAAACTGAATTTTCATTCTCATTGGGCAACTTCTGCTCTCAAATACTCGGGATTTACATTGCTGTCTCTCCACTGGAAATTAGATCAAGCAAAGGTGGGTCCCCTGAAAAACTGTTTGACCGGTCCTAAGTACAAAGTCTGTCTCCTTCCCACAAGCCCCAAACTGCTCTGCCCGAACAGCTGGATATGGTAGTGGAAAGCAGTATGAAATAACTGCAAATGGTGCACTTCTGGAGACAGTTAAAATCTCTTATTCATTTGCATCTTTTAAAAAAGCCATGCCCACATTCACATTGCTAGGCCATTTATTAACCAGGTGTTCCTCTCTACAGTACCTTCCCCTCTGCCACGTTTTATCGTGTGCGCTGCACCCAGCTGTTTCCATCTTGTCTTTAGATTATAAATTCAGTAGGTGTGTTGTTTTTTTTAAACTATGTTTGTGCGGCTCCCAACACAATGGGGTCCAATCCTGATTGAGGATTTTGGGAGATACTAGAATAAAATAATTAATAGCAGCAGCCTGCAGAAGAGTGGATTGAGGTTTGCTATTAAGAGGCAGAAGGAGATGGAAGTATCGTGTATTCCAGACAGAACCATGGAGCCAGAGGAAACATCCTGATTCCTCAGGCAGCTCAAGTTATCACCACTACAAGCCTTAGTCAGCATAAAGCTGCTCTTATGACACACCACATGAGAATGTAGCATGTGTAGGAAAGACCACATCAACATTTTAACCTGTCTGTTTTGGGGTGGGAGCCCCTTCTGGCTACAAAATTGACAGCACTCTCTAAACCCCAGCAATTCATTGGAATTAATTTGGATTTACATCAGGTTAACAACCAGATTCAAGCACTACATATTTTAACCTATCTGCTGCCAACCTGTGAAAAATTAGAAGTCTACTATTTATTTAACAAGAATAAACACGTTAAGAATTTAATTCTGAGATGATGGGAAGGAATCGATGGGGAATAGCAGAAGAAATACTTTGCTTTGATAATATCTTCTTTACAATGGAATCTAACTGCCAATTCACAGTCAGGGACTTTTTTGCTTATCACAGAAAATTTGCACTTTTGAGCTATTTGGCAGGCACATCAAGCATCATTTCATGGAGGATAGGTCCATCAATGGCTGTTAGCCAGCATGGGCAGGGATGGTGTCCCTAACCTTTGTTTGCCAGAAGCTGGGAATGGCAAACACAGGATGGATCACTTGATGATTACCTGTTCTGTTCATTCCCTCTGGAGCACATGGCATTGGCCATTGTCAGAAGACAGGATACTGGGCTAGATGGACCTTTGGTCTGACCCAGCATGGCCATTCTTATGTTCATCTGAGACTAGTCTTGGGCCCTTTGCATTTGTGTGAAATCATTAATTTCACGTATTATGAGTTCAAAGGCAATGTATATGCAAACAAAAGAGTGAAACATTAAGATTTGTTTACTAACAAGATACAGAGTAAATCATACATTCAAGTAAAAGATCAGCTGCTTGAGTGAATCATCATCATCTATATACTTAGATTTAATTAAATATGAAGTTTGATAAAGGCAATTATAATGCACTCACCTTAAGGCTTGTACAAGATTGAGATCAGCAAACTCATGGAGTTCAACAAAAGCCTGAAGAACTTTAATATTAAATTCATCTCTAAGAAAAAAAAACAAAATGACAATAGAGAATTACTACATTGAACCATAAACTTAAAGAACTGCTTCCTATTAATGCAACAGATAGAAAGGAAGTAAGAAACTGATCAGGCAAATAGATACTATCAATCAAATGAAGCCATCATTAATCTTTCTAACACATATTTAGGTTTGGGATATTTTAAGTGCAAGATTCTTCCCCAATTTTGCTAAGATGAAATTTAACCTAGTAGGACTAGAAAGTGCTACTGCTGCCATTGAAAACAGGAGCTGGCAAGAGCCTGTCACTCTACATTGATTTTAACTCTATCTAAATGATCTTCAAAATGACTCATTCTCTTTGCTCAACAGTTATTGTTGCACCCGTCTTGAAATGGGAACCTCAAGCAGTCTGGATAAATGAATGGAAAGACTAGAGAGTTTCACGGTAGCTTTTACACGTTCAGCTATAATCCTTTGCCGAAATGCTATTTTGTAACTTCTTACAGCAATATTCCCAGAGAAAAAACGGTTACTAACACAAGCAACACAGGCTTCCTCCTTTCCCTGGGGGTGCTCAACCCCTGCTCAGCCCCATGCCCCATCCCTGTTCCGCCCCAGGCCAGGCCTCCACTCCACTCCACCCCTTCCCCCAAGCCCCACCCCACCTCTTCCCACCCAGTTCTGCCCCCTCCCCCAAGCACGCCCAGTCCCTACTCCTTCTCCCTCCTGCCCCCACAGTGCCTCCTGCATACTGTAGAACAGGTGATTGCGGCGAGCGGGAGGCGCTGGGAGGGAGGGGGGGAGCTGGCTGCCAGTGGGTGCTAAGCACCGAGCACCCACGGATTCGGCTCCTATGGTTACTCACCTTCCATCACTCTCGTTCTTAGAGATGCGTTGCTCATGTCCATTCCATGCTAGGTGTGGACATGCCGCATGCACCATTGCCAGAGATTTTCCCCTTTGTGGTATCCATTGGGCCGGCTCCAAGACCCTCTGGAGCCACATCCTTATGCGCCAGTATAAGGTGCTCCACTGGCCCCGCACCATCTCAGTTCCTACTTGTCATTAACTCTGACAGAGGGGTAGGAGGGTGGGTCATGGAATGAACACGAGCAACACATCTCAGTTACAGAAGGTTAGTAACAGTTTTTTCTTCTTCGAGTGCTTACTCATGTCCATTCCATGCTAGGTGACTCACAATCAGTACCCCAGGAGGTGGGCTTGGAGTTTATGGACATGCTGATTTTTACACTGCTCTTCTGAAACTGGCATTGTCTTGGGCCTGCTGGATGATGGCGTAGTAGAACGCAAAGGTATGCACTGAAGACCAGGTCGTGGCTCTGCAGATGTCCTGGATTGAGACCTGTGCGAGGAATGCTGCTGACGAAACTTGGGCTCTTGTGGAATGAATGGTTACGATGGCTGGAGGCAGAACATTCACCTGCTTGCAGCAAGCCTGAATACAGGCTGTTATCTAGGATGAGATCCTTTGGATTGACACAGATAGCCCTCTTATCCTTTCTGCAGTTGCTACAAAGAGTTGCATGAAGTTGCGGAAGAGTTTAGTTCAGTCAATAAAAAAGGCAAGGGCCTGCCTAATGTCCAACAAATGAAGCAGTGATTCCTCAGAGTTCTTGTGAGGTTTCGAGAAGAAGACAGGAATATGATCTGGTTGTTATGGAATTGTGAGGCCATCTTTGGCAGGAAGGCTGGATGGGGCACAGTTGGAGCTTGCCCTTGAAGAACACCGTGTAAGACGGCTCTGAAATAAAGGCTTTGATCTCAGAGAGGTGATCAGCACCAGGAAGGGAACCTTCCAGGAGAGAAGTAATAGGGCTACTAATGGCTAGATGGGGGAGGCCCCATAGAATATCAGGGTTGGAAGGGACCTCAGGAGATCATCTAGTCCAACCCCCTGCTCAAAGCAGGACCAGTCCCCAATTTTTGCCCCAGATCCCTAAACGGCCCCCTCAAGGATTGAACTCACAACCCTAGGTTTAGCAGGCTCAAACCACTGAGCTATCCCTCTCTCTAATGAGCTTTGACAGGACCAGGTTTAAGTGCCATGGGGAGGGTTGGTTTGCAAACTTGAGGATACAGCCTTTCCAACCCCTTTAGAAACCAAACCGTTAATTCATATACCTTAACAGACGAGAGGGCCGGGCCCTGCTCTTTTAAGTGGAGCAAATAGTCCAAGACAGACTGAAGGGAAGATCGAGATGGAGAGAGATCACATTCGGAAGCCCAAAAAGCAAAACATTTCCAGTTGGCCAAGTAGGTAACCTTGGCAGAAGGCTTTCTACAACCTAGCAAGACCTGCCAATCCTGTTCCAAGCAGGGCTGTTCTTCAGGGTTCAGCCATCCAGCAGTTAGGTGCAGGGAGGCGAGATTCAGATGAAGTAACCAGCTGTGGTCTTGTGAAATCAGATGCGGAAGGAGTGGGAGACAGAGTGGAGCTGCCACAAGAGGTCCAAGTGCATGCCGAACCAATGCTGGCACAGCCATGCTTGTGCTTTCTGGGTAACTCTTGCCTTGTCCAGTTTGATTTTTAGAAGAACCTTATGAACCAAGGAAATCAGGGAAAAGGCGTACAGTAGGTGACCTGCTCACAAGAGCAGGGAGGTGTCGGAGAGGGAGCCTAAGCTGTGCCCGTGCAGCAAGCAAGACTGCTGACATTTTCGGTTCTGCCTGGTGGAGAGGAGGTCCACCTGGGGAGGCCCCCTACTTTTGGGAGATGAATCTGGGTGAAGGGACCACTCGTGGTGAGAGGAGAAGGATCAGCTAAAGTGATCCACCAATACATTCTGGCCTCCCAGGAGATGTGATGCCTCGAGATGGAGTGTCTTGTACTGAAGTCCCATAGGTGGACAGCCTCCTGACATAGGGCTGAGGATGGAGCCCCTCCTTGCTTACTGCTATAGAACATGGCCACTGTATTGTCTGCCAGGACTTGTACCACTGTGCCTGAGATCTGGGGAAGGAACAGTTGGCATGCTAAACAAACCACCCTGAGCTCCCTGATGTTTATATGCAGGGAGAGTTCTTCCTGGGACCAAAACCCCGGAGGTTGTTGAGGTGGGCTCCCCACCCTAGGTCTGCATCTGAGACTAAGGATACTGAAGGTTGTGGGGTAACAAAGGGCACCCCTATCATTGTTGACCTTGAGTCTTTCCACCAGTGCAGGGAGGGACTCTTGGGGCAGGGAATCTTTGCATTTATTCAGGGAGTCCCATAGATAAAATCCTATCTCCCCAGCAACGCTTGCTCGTTGGAGATATGCAACTGGAGGCTACCAGTGGAATAAACCTTTCTTCTGAAAAAGTCCAGTCTCCTGGCATCTTTCTGTTTTGAGGTAGTACTTGACTGGCCCTGCCTGTCCCTTTCACTCACTGCAGACATCACCAGGGACCCTGGTATTCGAAGGTATTCGAACCCACTTGCTGGCACTTAGTACTTCTTCTGTGCCCTTTTTGAAGTGGGGAGACAGAAAAGAAGGAGTTTACCACCGGGCCTTGACTAGTCCCATCTCTGCCTCATTGGTGGGCAGGGCCACCTTGGATGGAGCTGCTGCAGCCAGGATATCAATAAGGCTGTGCAATGTCTCTTTGAGCTCCTCAATTTCCAGGCCAACGTTCATAGCAACCTGATTTAGAATGTCCTGGTGGGCCCTGAAATCATCCTGTGGAAGCAGGCTACTGGGACCCATGCCAGCCTGGTCTGGGCAAGAGGAGGAGGGGGCTTGCACTGGTGGAAGGGCTCCTTCCTCTTCGTCTGCCTGGACTATGTCCACCGGAGGCAACAGGGTCAGTATGGGAGTCCTTGTGGCACCTTAGAGACTAACCAATTTATTTGAGCATGAGCTTTCGTGAACTACAGCTCACTGCATCCGATGAAGTGAGCTGTAGCTCACGAAAGCTCATGCTCAAATAAATTGGTTAGTCTCTAAGGTGCCACAAGTACTCCTTTTCTTTTTGCGAATACAGACTAACACGGCTGTTACTCTGAAACCTGTCAGTATGGGAGTCGAGCAGGAAGGAGCGGTAGCCCATCCTTCAGAGACCACTGAGTTGGAGCAGTGGTAGGAAAGATCCGGTACCGGGGGGGGGGGGAGAGGGGGGTTAGGAGAAGGGGAAGAACCCCCAGGGGTCCATTAAGGCCACTGCTTCGGCCAGTAACTCACTGACCAGATGCCTGCCGGAGGACTGGTACTGAAGCTTCATGGAGCACAGGCAGGATATTGATGGGCTTTTGGCAGTACATAAGGTTGCCCTTCGGACTCCAAAGAGGATTCTTCTCTCGGTGACCACAGTGGAGCAGTACCCACTTCCACCTCCATACGGTGACAGGGTTCCAGGGTCTGGTGGTGTCCTGGAGATTGGGACCCTAGGATCAGGTGGAGCTTTCCCCTCAATGGTGCCCAGGGAGTTGACGACACCAACATGGATCCAGGGGCAGAAGAGTGGCCAGGCCTGGGTCTCACTCAACTGCCTTCTCCTTGCTTCTCTCTCTTGTGCACCAGTGAGTACCCTCTCTCGGTTCACTGCTTCTTATGCTTCTTCCTTGGCACTGGAGATGAAGAACAGCACCTGGAAGAGCTCATTGCCAGGGGAGTACTTCGCACCGACGTCGAGGGACTCAGCACCGAATCGGAACAGCTGAGCTCTGAGATAGGTCTGAGAGCGGCTTCCATGTGGATAGCCTTCAGTCTGATGTGCCTGTCTTTTTTGGTGCGGGGTCTGAAGTCCCAACAAACCTGGCTCTTGTCCTTCCAATGAGTTTTTCTCAGGCACTTTAAGCACCTGGAGTATAGGCTTGCCACAGGAGGCGCAAGGCTTGAAGCCTGGGGACTGGGGCATGCCTGGCCACTGGGGTAAAGAAGTCCCTCATGATAGGGACTAACTAACTATATATACGCACATACTAAAACTACTTAAAATAGAGACACTACACTATGATAATTATGAACATAGAAAAAATTCAAAAACCACTAAGAAGAAGCCTTGCCAAAGCAAGAAGGGTCGTTCTAGCAACCGTCATGGGCAGTAAGAAGGAACTGAGTGAGTGCGGGGCCAGTAGCGCCCCTTATGCCTGCGCATAAGCACAGGGCTCCTGAGGGCACCAGCGCCGGTCCAACGGATATCACTGAGGGAAAAATCTCTGGCAACACTGCAAGCGGTGCACCCACACCTACCGTGGAATGGACAGGAGCAAGCACTCGAAGAACAACAACAACAAATGACTCTGCTTTCTTTAGCAATAGCACGCTAGAGGGGGAAAGAGTCGTGTTCCCCCCGATCCCCTTCTCCTCCAGGACAGAACCATCACTATCAAACTGTTAAATCAACAGCTATCAATAAGGCCTGCTCCCTAAATATAGACCTAAAAAGGAATAATAAAATACCACTTAACGCGTATAGTATCCTTAGTCTATTCTGAGAAATCACTACACTGAATGCTTATGTTCCAAGGTCATTCTAAAAACGTAATAGGTATTGATTTTCATTTCCCTTTGTATGTCCCTTAAACTTCTAAACAAAACCAAAGTTTAAGTAGGCAATATGGTATGCAATTTTTGAAATGCAAACAGAAATTTAATATAACAAGAACAACCTGGGTCCACATGCAATTTAATTTCAACGCCAAACCTGACAGTAGTGCAGTCTATAATCTAGGACTTTGGGGGTGGAGGGAGAAGGAAAAATCAAGCTGTGGTGTTGTTTACCTCCTACCTCACCAGTAATAATAACTGACAACAGTTTTAGCATAGTTCAAGGGACAGAATAGAATAGAATTCACTTCACTTTCGCACAGCTGAACTGACAACATAGCTAAGAGAAGTAAAAACTTGATTACATTAGTAAAGTTAGATGTACACTGCAAGCAGAAATGTTGCATAAAAATTAGCTTTTTTTTTAATATCCACATTTCTGACTTCACCCTGGATATTTTCCATGGTTTTCTGGCCAAATATTAGCTACATATCATTGCAGTCATATTTTCAGTTCTTCTAATGTTTTAATTGCCACTCTATAGATTGACACAAATTTCTGAGTTGTAATTTGACATTTAATGTTGGTAACAATATTAGTCTGCAGTTAACTGTTCAGAATTCAAGAAGATGGAAACTGAGTTGTGTAGACACAGTATACTCAAAAAACTGAAACCAATGAAATTTTAGGCATTAGCTAGGGAGCGACAAACACCGCAGCTTGATTTTTTCAGATCCTAGATGAAGACTGCAATGTTGGCAGGTTTGGGATGGGAAGAGGTGGGAAAAAATCTTTTGAATTGTAAATTGAGCTTGTTTGCTATGATCCTGCAAATAATTCATGCAAATAATCACAGTGACTTCAGTGGCACTATTGATGTGAACAAGGACTAGTTGCATGACTAAGGGTTTGAGGATCAGGCCCTGAGAGGAAAAAAGATTATTTCAAGATCAGATGCCAGAGTGTCATATATTTCTCTTAAAAGAGAAAAAACATGGACTACTTTACACAAACTCTATTATAATAATGGAGATTAAGTTAATAATGCACAGTGGAGGTATAGCTATCTCTAAAATCTTCATTTTCATTACTTGTAGTTGAAATATTCAAAATGATGTTTGGAATGTTTCTCAGAGGTCAAGTTCTCAGGTGTATGCAAAAAAGTTGAAATTCCTACATACTGTGCACCATGTTATAGTATAAACTTTCATTATACCTACTTAAACTCTAAGGGCCTATAGCTAACTGCAAGCTAAGACCTCAATCCTGTAAATAGATTCCATGTCGGTTTAAGGGAGTTATGGTAGAGAAGATCAGTTTACAAGAGTACGGCCCAAGTGACTAGGCTATTAAATCTCTAAATAACTGGCACCTGATTTTGATAAAAAAAATATAGGCAAGAGTTATGTCTGTAGTCTTTTCAATAACGAAAGAGATTAGTTTACAGGTTTTACCAGTGATACAATTTTGCAGCTGAATATTTTTTTTAAACAAATAATTTCTGCACTGCATTACAACTGGAGTAATCTGCATATTTATTGTGCTGTACATGATAAAAGCTAAGATGCATTCTCCCCTTTAGGTGCCTACTTAATACCCATTAATGTTAACAGGATGTGTATGTGCAAGGAAGAAGACAACACTAAATAAAAACAGCTGACTATCATTAGGCTAGGCACCAACCTTTTGAATGATGAGCAATTTTCTCATTGTCTAGTTAATAACTTCATGAAGCATTCTTTGCTGGGCAGACCATTAAGAACTACTACAAGATTGCTGAAATATGATTCTGAAACCTTTCAGAAGTTTATGACATTAAATCTTGCACAATAACTAAATCTAGAAAAACTGTAGTTTATTTTTCAGAGTAATGAATTGTGATTAGTTAAGCAATGTGTGATATTTTCATAATTCATCCATTTTTAAAAAAGCTTCTTATAGCACAGTGCTTTTACTTTCCAATATAACATTTATATTCCTCAGGGTAGAATGTAGCTCATGCAGCCAGTGAACATGAGACACACACTGATAAAAAGTGTAACTCCTCTCCACTAGAGCAGTCAAGTGATTAAAAAAATAATCATGATTAATGGCATGATTAATTGCCCTGTTAAACAATAATAGAATACCATTTAAATATTTTTGGATGTTTTCTTCATTTTAAAATATATTGATTGCAATTACAACACAGAATACAAAATACAGGGCTCACTTTATATTTATTTTTTATTACAAATATTTGAATCGCAGAGAACAAAAGAATAGTATTTTTCAACTCACCTAATACAAGTACTGTAGTGCAATCTCTTTAGCATGAAAGTTAAACTTACAAACGTAGAATTATGTTAAAAAAAACGCATTCAAACATAAAATAATGTAAAACTTTAAAGCCTACAAGTCCATGCAGTCCTACTTCTTGTTCAGCCACTCACTAAGACTAACAAGTTTGCTTACATTTACAGGAAATACTGCTGCCTGCTTCTTATTTACAATGTCACCTGAAAGCGAGAACAGGCATTTGCATGACACTTTTGTAGCCTGTGTTGCAAGGTATTTACGTGCCAACTAGGCTAAACATTTGTATGCCGCTTCATGCTTTGGCCACTATTCTAGAGGACAATCTTCCATGCTGATGATGCTCGTTAAAAAAATAATTCATTAATTACATTTGTGACTGATCTCCTTGGGGGAGAATAGCATGTCTCCTGCTCGGTTTTACCTGCAATCTGCCATATATATTTCATGTTATAGCAATCTCGGATGATGACCCAGCACATTTGTTTTAAGAACACTTTCACAAAAGGTTTGACAAAATGCAAAGAAGGTACCAATGTGAGATTTCTAAAAAAAGCTACAGCACTCGACCCAAGGTTTAAGAATCTGAAGGGCCATCCAAAATCTGAGCGGGATGAGGGGTGGAGCATGTTTTCAGAAGTCTTAAAAGAGCAACTCTCTGATGTGAAAACTACAGAACCCAAATCACCAAAAAAGAATATTAACCTTCTGACTCAGATGATTAAAATGAATATGCATCGGTCCACTGTGCTTTGGATAGTTATCGAGCAGAACCGGTTATCAGCATAGATTTATGTCCTTTGGAATGGTGGTCAAAGCATGAAGGGACATACGAATGTTTAACATAGTTGGCATGTAAATACCTTGCAATGCAGGCTACAACAGTGCTATGTGAACGCCTGTTCTCACTTTCAGATTATGTTGTAAATAAGAAGCAGGCAGCAATATCTCCCGTAAATGTAAACAAACTTGTTTATCTTAGCAATTAGCTGAACAAGAAGCAGGACTGAGTGGACCGGTAGGCTTTAAAGTTTTACCTTTTTAATGTAACTGCATTCAAAAACAAAACAAAAATCTACATTTGTTAAGTTACACTTTCACGATAAAGAGATTCCACTACAGTACTTGTATGAGGTGAATTGAAAAACATTATTTCTTTCATCATTTTTACAGTGAAAATATTTATAATAAAAAATAATATAAAGTGAGCACTGTACACTTTGTATTCAGTGTTGCAACAGAAATGAATATATCTGAAAATGTAGAAAAACATCCCAAAATATTTAATAAATTTCAATTGGTATTCTATTGTTTAACAGTGCGATTAATCGTGATTAATTTTTTAAGTTCGTGTGCGTTAATTCCGAATAATCAACAACCCTACTCTCCACACATTTAAACATACGAAAGAAGAGATCAATTTGTTTCAGTTTACCTCTCACCAAGGTAATCTCCAATTACAGTTTTATTTAGTCCTTCCCCTTTATAGAGGAACTGTGCAATGTCTTCTGGAGTGTTCTGCAGCAGGTCATTTTCTATAAGAAACTGGATCCCCTAGGAAAAGAAATTTAAGAGTAAGAAGAATTCTTTCCTTTCACAAACATTTATTTGAATACTGTCCAGGATATTTTGGGATGAATACACAGAGATATATACATAACCATACCATTTTCCACAATAAAAAAAAAATCTATAGACTAAATTAGAGAAATCATTTATCTTTCAGGTAACGAAACTAGACGTCTGTTCAGTCAGGTAGGCAATTTCTAGAATTAATTTACAGATCAGAAAAAGGAATTCCTAAGGTTGGAAACAGCAGGGGGCAATTTAAATTCCTCAAATATAGAAAAATATTTAATTGAGTAACTATTCCATATTGGCCTTGGGAAGCAAACTGAAAGGGGAGTTAGCATTTAACAAAATTCAAGTCAGTCCGTGTTACTGCATTAATATCAGGCAGAGAGCATAATCTGTGAGATCACATAAAGAGACACAGGGACAACACAATTTACTTACCATCATACTACAAGATAAACCATCTGTTATAATTTGCAATACCATGACTGAATGCATCAAGTCATTACTTGCAGTAGAAATTATGATTTGAGATAATTAATCCCATTTTGAGAATTTTTGAAAAATCTTGGCATTAGGATGGTAATTAATTTCTGTCACTGCTTGAACTAAACTATTCAAAGAGAGGATCCCATCATGGTGCTTGATCCAAAGCCCAATGAAGTCAATGAGAGTCTTTCCATTTTATTCAATGAGCTTTCAATCAAACTCATTCAGAGATGATCTGAGGAAACAAGAGAGAGTAACCCTACAGAGAGCCAAGAGACAGGAAGGTTTTGGCTTGTCCATCCTCAGAGGCCTTTTTAGCCTTTGTACTTCCTAAATAGTCTCATGAGATACAGACGCCTTAATATACAGTTTCTAGGGAAATCCAGAAGGCTTTCTGCAAAGAAAAGAGGAAAGGACATTTTCAAAAACTGTATTAACATTATAGAAGTCTTAAGGAATAAAAGAGGTGCTGTGTTAGCTCTTAAAAGAATACTCAAGTCCCAGACAGATATTTCTAAAAGACAATATTTCTCTAACAAAGGTCTTAATTTTTTCATTGCTTTCACAAAATTGATAACAAACGTCGGGTGAAAGTAGCAATGGCAGCTCCATGCAACTTTGAGGTCCTGAATTCTATCCGTATGTGGAAGAGTTCACTAAATTATTAAAATCTTTGCCACTGAAACACGTCCTGAGATTCCATTTATTTTTAGAAATAAAAGCAAAAAACTTTTCCATTTCTGTAAATGGATATTATTTATTGTTGATCTCATCCAGACTTGGAGGACATACATCATCCTTAAAAAGGTGGGGAGGGGGAGGTAGGAAAAACAAAACAAAACACTGTACTACAATCTACTTTAGGAAGGTAAACCTTTTGCCATTCAGTCTTGAAGCTTTTTTTTAAATCCAGGAAGACTGTTCTCTCTCTTGAAGTTTCGCCATTGGAAAAACTACTTTCAGTGTCAGGATAAAAATTGATATTAATGACTCTCTTTTCAAATCACAGAGAAAGACACATGATTTCATTGCAAAGAAAATATTTCAGTTTTATCTTCTTGTAGCAGTGGCTGTGCCTTCCTCAGACATAATGATCCCCCTGAACTTTGCTTGATAGTTGGATGTGTTGACTACTTAGCTAGACAAAAAGATGCTCCAAAGAGGAGTAAGGGTAGGCAAATAAAATAAACTTTTTGCTTCCAAGAATAAATTAGTACATGTCTGAACTATGACAATTAAGAGATTATTCCAAATTAAGGAACTAATAAGGTTAATCAGGATACATACATTTTCAGCTTTAAAAAATACAAACCACCACTGAAAGATATAAATCTGTCAAGCACAGAAAATCCTGCAGGAGTTCTAAAGAATGCACTCCAGAGGTGTCATAACTGTGGAGCTGTTAAAACTGTGTTGATTTTTTTCCACTTAAATCATGATTAAAATCACTACCATACATTTGAAAGACAAAACTACACTATTTAAGTAACACCATAACTCTTCAGAGGATGATTGAATTTTCTATTCTTCTTTGGTTAAGACTTAGTTTGGCAAAGGAAAGATTTTAAAATGAGCCCTTTTTGGGGAAAAAAAAAGTTTTTTAATCTCTTATAGCTAAAGAAACAAAGTCCCCACAAACCCCACTGTTTCTCTCTCACACACACACACACCCCTCCAGCATAGGATCATTTTCCAAGTTTGAACAGAAACACATGAAATAGAGTTTTTCCCCATATTTGTCACTAATTCAGTACTACAAAAGGAAGAGAAAGAACTGCCCAGATTCCCTATTTCTGTTCTCAAACATTATTTTCCTATTTCTCTAGTCCTTGTGCCCGGTTCTCACCTACGTACTTTACTCTATGTACCTCTGGTCCCCCATCTTTCCATGCGTCACACTCTAATTTGTTAAACCTAGTAGGATTATGCTGATTTCAAAGAATGAGCTTCCTTCGATATGACGGCATAGGACATCCTTTCACACAAGCGTCAGAAACAACAGCTATGTCAGTAATGAAGCTGCAATTTCCCTTTCTTCGGCATCTTTAGCGTCTCATTCTCTTTTATGCATCTATGACTGCGTTCAATTCTGGTCGCCTTATGTATACAGAATATAGCAGAAAGACAATTCTATGAAAAACTATGGAAATTATTAGAGGCCATGAGAAAGCTTTTGTGTGAAGAGAAGTTGAAAAAGATTGTGAAATGTTTTCTTTAAAAAGGACATGATAAAGGTATAAAATTAAAGAACAGAACAGAGAAGGTAGATCAAGAAGTTCAGTTGAATTGGAAGGATACAAATGTAACTAGCTTGTTAAACTTATTGCCACACAATATCACAGAGAACAGCAAAATTCAACAGAAGACTGGACATCTCTATGGTCAGTAAGGACATCCAGAATTCCATTAGTAAGGTTTTTCAAAAACAAGTTTAGCTAAACCCTGGTTTATAAGACAACCTCTACCTGCAGGAGTTAGGAAGTAGCTTTCTCTATGAGTAGCTTAATCCTTTACTGTCTACTACAGGGCTTCTTATACCTCTCTCTAAAGCATCTAGTACTAGCCATTGTTGGAAATACAATAGTGGACTAGATGAACCACCAGTTTAATCTGCTCCGGCACTTGCTATGTTCCCATTATAGACTACAGAATATGTATTCCCATGGGAGACATATATTACCATAGGAGGTTGGAATTAAGGTTTTGCATTCAGGTGGGATTGTGAGGAATTCGATGTCTGCATTTCAGAGTAGCAGCCGTCTTAGTCTGTATCTGCAAAATGAACAGGAGTACTTGTGGCACCTTAGAGACTGAAACCAAATTTATTTGAGCATAAGCTTTTGTGGGCTACAGCCCACTTCATCAGATGCATAGAATGGAACATATAGTAAGAAGATATATATACACATACAGAGAACATGAAAAGGTGGAAGTTGCTATACCATCTCTAAGAGGCTAATTAATTAAGATAAGCTATAATCAGCAGGAGAAAAAACACTTTTGTAGAGATAATCAAGATGGCCCATTTCAGACAGTTGACAAGAAGGTGTGAGGATACTTAACATGGGGAAATAGATTCCATTTGTGTAATGACCCAGCCACTCCCAGTCTTTATTCAAGCCCAAGTTAATGGTATCTAGTTTGCGAATTAATTCTAGTTCAGCAGTTTCTCGTTGGAGTCTGTTCTTGAAGCTTTTCTGTTGCAAAACTGCCACCCTTAAATCTTTTACTGAGTGACCAGAGAGGATGAAGTGTTCTCATACCAGTTTTTGAATGTTATGATTCCTGATGTCAGATTTGTGTCCATTTATTCTTTTGCGTAGAGACTGTCCAGTTTGGCCAATGTACATGACAGAGGGGCATTGCTGACACATGATGGCATATATCACTTTGGTAGATGTGCAGGTGAACGAGCCTCTGATGGCGTGGCTAATGTGATTAGGTCCTATGATGGTGTCACTTGAATAAATATGTGGACAGAGTTGGCATCGGGCTTTGTTGCAAGGATAGGTTCCTGGGTTAGTGTTTTTGTTGTGTGGTTGCTGGTGAGTATTTTCTTCAGGTTGGGGGGCTGTCTGTAAGCGAGGAGTGGTCTGTCTCCCAAGATCTGTCAGAGTGAGGGATTGTCTTTCAGGATAGGTTGTAGATCTTTGATGATGCGCTGGAGAGGTTTTGGTTGGGGGCTGAAGGGGACTGCTAGTGGCGTTCTGTTATTTTCTTTGTTGGGCCTGTCCTCTAGTAGGTGACTTCTGGGTACTCTTCTGGCTCTGTCAATCTGTTTTTTCACTTCAGCAGGTGGGTATTTTAGTTTTATGAATGCGTGATAGAGATCTTGTAGGTGTTTGTCTCTGTCTGAGGGATTTGAGCAAATGCGGTTGTATCTTAGAGGTTGGCTAGACAATGGATTGGGTGGTGTGTCCTGGATGAAAGCTGGAGGCATGTAGGTAAATCTAGCGGTCAGTAGGTTTCCGGTATAGGGTGGCGTTTATGTGACCATCAACTTATTAACACAGAAGTGTCCAGGAAATGGACCGCTTGTGTGGATTGGTCCAGCCTGAGGTTGATGGTGCGATGGAAATTGTTGAAATCATGGTGGAATTCCTCAAGGGCTTCTTTTCCATGGGTCCAGATGATGAAGATGTCATCAATGTAGCGCAAGTAGAGTAGGGGCATTAGGGGACGAGAGCTGAGGAAGCGTTGTTCTAAGTCAGCCATAAAAATGTTGGCATACTGTGGGGCCATGCGGGTACCCACAGCAGTGCCGCTGACTTGAAGGTATACATTGTCCCCAAATGTGAAATAGTTGTGGGTGAGGACAAAGTCATAAAGTTCAGCCACCGGTTTGCCATGACGTTATCGGGGATACTGTTCCTGATAGCTTGTAGGCCATCTTTGTGTGAAATGTTGGTGTAGAAGGCTTCTACATCCATAGTGGCCAGGATGGTGTTTTCTGGAAGATCACCGATGGACTGCAGTTTCCCCAGGAAGCCAGTGGTATCTCAAAGATAGCTGGGAGTGCTGGAAGCGTAGGGCCTGAGGAGAGAGTCCACATAGCCAGACAATCCGGCTGTTAGGGTGCCAATACCTGAGATGATGGGGGCATCCAGGATTTCCAGATTTATGGATCTTGGGTAGCAAATAGAATACCCCTGGTCGGAGTTCTAGCCATGTGTCTGTACAGATCTGTTCCTGTGCTTTTTCAGGGAGTTTCTTGAGCAGATGGTGTAGTTTCTTTTGGTAATTGTCATAAATATAAAGGGAAGGGTAAACCCCTTTAAAATCCCTCCTGGCCAGAGGAAAAATCCTCTCACCTGTAAAGGGTTAAGAAGCTAAAGGTAACCTCGCTGGCACCTGACCAAAATGACCAATGAGGAGACAAGATACTTTCAAAAGCTGGGAGGAGGGAGAGAAACAAAGGGTCTGTGTCTGTCTATATGCTGCTTTTGCCGGGGATAGAACAGGAATGGAGTCTTAGAACTGTTAGTAAGTAATCTAGCTAGGTATGTGTTAGATTATGATTTCTTTAAATGGCTGAGAAAAGAACTGTGCTGAATAGAATGACTATTTCTGTCTGTGTGTCTTTTTTGTAACTTAAGGTTTTGCCTAGAGGGATTCTCTATGTTTTTAATCTAATTACCCTGTAAGGTATCTACCATCCTGATTTTACAGAGATGATTCCTTTACTTCTATTTACTTCTATTTCTATTAAAAGTCTTCTTGTAAGAAAACTGAATGCTTTTTCATTGTTCTCAGATCCAAGGGTTTGGGTCTGTGGTCACCTATGCAAATTGGTGAGGATTTTTACCAAACCTTTCCCAGGAAGTGGGGTGCAAGGGTTGGGAGGATTTTGGGGGGAAAGACGTGTCCAAACTACGTTTCCCAATAAACCCAGTTAGAGTTTGGTGGTGGCAGTGGATATTCCAAGGACAAAGGATAAAATTAATGTGTACCTTGGGGAAATTTTAACCTAAGCTGGTAAAAGTAAGCTTAGGAGGTTTTCATGCAGGTCCCCACATCTGTACCCTAGAGTTCAGAGTGGGGGAGGAACCTTGACAGTAATCCTCAGTGGGATCAGAGGATAATGGCCTGTAGAATGTGGAGTTAGGTGGAGAATGTAGAGTCTGCATTGTGGATGGAATGGAATGGCATTTTCTTGTGCAGCACAGGAGAACGTAAGGATGGCCGGGTATTGGAAAGGTGGTATAGTATAAGCGCTGAGATTACTGTGAATATCAGTTTAACATATTATTTTCTTGGTTTTTAATGATTGCATTATTTAAAAATGCACTGGCAAAACTACCTGCAAAGTTAAGGACACTTATGTATGCTAGATTAAAAAGTTCACTTTCTTACAGAAGCTAGAATAGGTGAAAATTTCCTTTTAGCAGAAAAATTATGCAGAAAGGCCATCAATTCAGCATGTAGGCCTTCTAGATCTGATAAAGTAGTCTGTTATAAATAACATTATTTCAATGTATGTATAGTACCTTACAGAAGGCTGAATGCAGTTGTGTGCTGTCTTGTTTTTTCGTTACAAGTAAGTAACAAGTACAGCTGATTCATCATCAGACAATTTTGAACACATACTGACAATGGCTGGGGAGGAGGTTAGTTATAATCTTCAAAACAGGTCTTAATGTATCTATTTTAACTGACATAGAAGGACATCTCATCAACCCTACCCTTGTCTTCATGAAGTTTATCAGGTTTCTTAGATCTAATAATACCTCTTTTCTGCAAATCCAAATCCTCCAAAGAAAAGAAATTACCATCCACAGAAACAGTCATCTTAAATACCCTGAAAACCAGGACTCAATTTCATTGTCCTTTGTAGCAGAAAAGAGGTGATAAAGAATTAAGAGGCAAACAGACAGGAAGAGGAAATTTGTCTGGATCAACAACAGTGTCTGGAAGAAGTCAGTCAAAGAGACCACTTAAATACCTCTGACTCCCACTCTAGACTTTGTCTGTCTCTCTACTGCTTTAGCCTCTGTTGACTAATTTAAGACAGGAGACAGCTGTATTAGTTTACCTTCTCCACATAAAACACGATTACAAAAATGTATTTATAGATTCACTACAAATATTAAAACACATATTTTTCTTAGTCAACTATTAATGACTTCAATTAAATCAGCTTTGAATTTCAGTTTATATTTTAGAGTTAATCAAAGTTTTATACCTCCCAAAAACTGTCTTTCCAGATCCACCAAAGACAATGTGTATCAAGCCCCAGCTATGATTTCATACTTCATATTCACATACTATGGTGTTTTTCACACATAAAACCCAAGTGTTTTACAAACTTTACAGATATAGAGCCCTGTTCACATGAGATCAAAGCTAAACTGGTTTTGAAAACATATATACAATAACACCATATAACTGCATCAAATGAAACAGTTTTCAAATCCAGTTCAGTGTATCCATGGAACAAATCAGCAAACAGTGTCAAATATAATAAACTCTTACCCACAAAAGGTTCAGTTAGGATGGGTAACACAGATTAGCCAGATTTGAAAATTGCATAGCAGTAATTTAAACTAGGAGTTCGCAGACACTTTGAATAGAGTGGACCCCATCCAATAAAAAGATCATTTGGAGAAGTCACTTCCCCTTCCATTTGTGCTAACACAACTATCCCACTCATTTCACATTCCTGATCATGCAGTCCGCCATCACTCCTATTTGTGAAAAAAACAATATTCCCGTTGCAACTATAGCAAATTACTTCTATGAAGAGCAACATTAGGAAAGTATTTAATGTATTTTTAGCTCCCTTGAATTCAACATAGCACTTGCAAAGATAAGCCAGCACCATATGACCACCCAGCTCTTGCAGACCACCACTGTTCCACGGACCACAGCTTCTGAGTGCTGATGTAAACCCATTTCCCACAGGTAAATAATGTTATAGTAGAAATGTGGCCAGGACTTCTACACATAGGAATAATTTCACCCACCTGTGAAATATAGCCATCACTACAAGAAAAGTACCTCAACTCATTTTTCAATTTGTCCACAAACCTTCTTGGCAGTAAAACAACAGGACACTTGAAAGCATGGCACCCCAAAACAAAAACAGAAGGGAAAAAAAACCCCAAACACTCACCAAAAGATACAGGTTAAAAAGAGGAAACTATGGCCTATTAATCTAAATAAGATTATTTAGGAAAAAAAAAAGAATTTATAGGATGATAATAGCCTAAGTAACATACAGAGGTGTTAATTGAAAACACTGCTGTAAATGAACTATTAAGTCATCCAAATATATTCAGGTTCAACATTCTTGAGAAGGAATCGTAGCAAACACTAGCACAGTGACCCTAAGCTTTAGTAAGGAAGATTTTGGGGAAAAAAAAATGATGTTAATATAGATATCATTCAGCTACTCAAAATCCAATCCTAATGAACCCAGAAAGCAGTAAACAATACATCAGGGGAAATACACAATGCAAATTAGGAAGGGTAAAAAGGGGATTTGAAGAGCAATTAGCCAGATATCTTAAACCAACAAGAAATTCTCAGTATATCAAGAGGAGGACACCTGCAAGAGAATTGGCAGGTCCTGGACTACGAGGGGGAAAAGGGAACAATTAAGGAAAATAAGGACATTGCAGAGAAGCTAAATCATGTCTTCACATCAGTCTTAAACCTAGACATACATTTCTTCAAATAATAAGCTAAGAAATACTTTTTTAAAAGTGATGACTAAGTTTCTACCTGCAATTATTTGTGTAAGTGCTATTTATGAATGCACAGAATTGCACATTAGCATTTGTGTATATAAATGTAGTGGTTTATATGAGCAGATAATTGTGAGCACAAATTAAAAAGCTAGGTAGGACACTATATAACCAAGGGCTCCAAACTTCTGACCAAACTGTAAAATATTTTTGGGACTGAATTTGGCACATCAACACAGAATATCTCCATCATGTGTTATCAGGTCTCGATGCAAGCATGCCACAATGAGTACACTGACAGATTTACCTCCTGTATTTAAAATTCTGACTACAAGAAAGATGTTTGTTCAAATGGCTATATAATTTACTATTATTCTTTTTATTATCATTGTAGTAAATGGTGGACACGATTAGATTGTGGGCCCATTTTCATGATGATTTTGCAAGGCCATAACAGTGTCCTGATGAATGTTTGGGGAGTTTTAAAATGCACCATTTAGTTTAACTTTAATTGATTACCACCAGTTTGGTCTGCATTTGCCAAAAAGAATATCATTAACAATAACTTAAATCCTGACAAATACAAATTGCTCTACCTTCTTAGGGTCCATGTTGAATTTCTTCCTTCCCATAGCTATTTGCTTATTTCTCTGTGTAGTTTTGCTATTCATTTGGAAGACAAAAAAAAAAAAAAAATCAGCTACTCTGGCCGAACACAATAATTTTAAATTCTGTCACTTTATTTATATTTTCAACTTTATTTTTGATATTTTATTTTATGGTAAAAAAAAATCATAGTATCATAAGGCATTTACTTCCAAAAAGTGACAACCAAAAATAGTCTATTATTTAAAATCATGTTACAAAGAGGACCCACTAGTTATCACAGCTTCACAGAATCACCGGTATTAGCTATGGAAAATTCTATCAGATCACTAAGTCCTTTCTGCAAGAGCAAAATAGAAGCTGTATGATCTCTAAATGGATTCTGCAGATCTCAAAACAAGCCCAAGCAAAGATTTATAAATATCCAGTTTTTGGTAACAAAAGCAATTTTTGTTTCCTGTTCCTGAAACACCTTTGCCAGTATCTTATTACTGAGTGGAATGCTTGTCAGAGTTACTTACCTTTCTTCTACACTAGTCAAATTATCAATTTCTGTCATAACCTCTGCTATTTCAAATTTTAACCTCTGTCAAAAGAAGGAAAGGAAAGTAAGTTAACCAACCAGTATTAAAGCATTTTTTTAAAGATATTCACTCTGCCATAAACAAAATTAATGTGATCAATGTAGATTTCATTTTATTTACGAGTCAGTAGAGCTGAGTGAGAATTGCACAACCAGGGCTTGTTAGAATCTGGCATGAATTAGTACTAAAAGAGGGCAGAGCCCTCTATTCTAGCTTGAAAACTCAATGTGGAAAAGAGAGGCTCTACTGAAAAATCTTACTTGGGACATGCTAATAGTAATCTGACTAGATTAGCAAGGAAAGGAAGGAAGAGAAGGCCACAGATCATGTGCGAAGACGGTGAGCTAAAGATATCAGACTTTTCTAGATGTGGTCCCTACTCTTCCCTTTTATTACCGACCTTTGCAAAAATGAATCATAATGCAGAATGGCAGTGAGAGTTTTCTGCAATAAACAGCAGTGGCATTTTTTGCGCTATCGAAACAGGAATCTATAAAAGCTGTTGCCCATTTGGGATATATGGTTTGAAGTTTACACCAGCATTAATTCACAGATAGACATTTGTATCTTGTCACTAGAAACTGGGCTCTACTCAGACCATTAGATCCAAAAACCTCCTCCCAAAAGCAACTTATGCTGAGATTCTTTTCTGACTCTGAATCCAAAATTCACTGCTTAGAGCCATCTCTCCTGGCCACTGATGCCAAGTTCTTAATCTTTCATAGTGTATTTCTCTTATCCTTTTTCATAGTCTCATTGCCAATACAAGCATTATAAGTTTATTCACTATTTCCCACAATCATCTCCAGTATTTCTGTATATGAAGTATTAACTACACAAATGAAGTGTATGTAAATACACACAATGTATTATACAGATTCAGGGTAAAATTTTCAAAAGCACGTGAATGACTTAGGAGTTTAAGGGCTTGCCTACATAATTAGTTTACAGGAAGCTGGGGTCTGAATCTAGCCCGCACTAGCCTGCCACGGACTAACTGTCTGCTTGTACCCTCCGACACACTTTAATAACTCCTTAATGTGTTTTAATCTATTCCTCTTTGAAATAGGACTAGTTATATCAAAAAGCAGCAACAAACTGTTAATGCGCATCAGCACAGTTAGTCTGCAGCAGGGTAGTGCAGAGTAGATTCACACCCCAATTTGCTGGGGAATCATTCATGTAGACAAGCCCTAAGTCTCACTAAAAGTCAGCGAGATTTAGGTTCTTAAATCACTATGTAAAATTTTCAAAAGCGCTTAAATAATTTAAGAATCTAAACTTAATTAACTTTCAAGTCACTTAAGTGCTTTTGAAAATTTTACCAAACAATGTATAGTTATAAATACACCATAACATATTGCTATAATATTAAATGTACTGAGGCAGCCTTCTTTGCATCTTTACCTGACAGAAAAATAAATTACCTCAATATCATCAATTAGTTCTTTTTTCCTGCGACGAATGTTTAAAAGTTCTTCTCTCTCTTCTATGGAGAGATCATCCGGTACTGAAAATAAAACAAATGTATATACTATTATCAATTGCAGACAAATTAAAGATCAGCAGTGTCTATTAATTTGGCTAAGAAAAGCAATTTTTACAAGAAACTGCTTTAGCTAAAAATATGAGGAAAAAATTGGCATATACCCATGGTTACTGAACTTCCACTTTATAAATCATAACTAAGGCAATTAACTGAATTAACATCACCCCCAAAAGATTCTAGCATTCAAAGAAAGCAATACAGCTGTTGGGGACTCCTTATCATAAAATCGGTCTTATGACTTGGGTCTACACTTAAGTGGCCAAAATCATAAAAGAAATAATTGGAATTATACCAGTAATGGGCCAAAGTTGTTCATATTTTTAAAAAGGACATGCTTGAAATTACCCTATGTAGGTTTACAAAATGTACTATGACTTGTAAAGTACATACATTCATCACATCTTTCAGGAAATAATTACAATATTTATATATAAGCTCCTTATGGAGATGTGGTCTGAAATCAGCCCCAGGGTACAGGACACTATTCAGGATTACATTTTATTTGGTTGCTTTGTATGGCAGGTGCAGGTACTGTACATACAGTACTGATGGCAACTTTACTATCAATTACTTTTATCAGCAGATAACATTTTTATTCATTACAGATAAGGACACAGATGGAAAACATTAACACAGCATCTCATATATTCAGTGTTTTACAATAACATTTAAAAAATAAATAGTTTGCCATATTTAAAATAACTTCTCTCAACTGTTTACTTAGCTATACTGAAATAAGAGTGCTACCCTGCTGATAAAAGTAATTGCTACTGAAGATGCAAACACAGTGCTGTACATATCTGCAGCTGAACCTCAGCCCACCACTAGTCTCCCCTGTTGCCCTTGTCTGGCAGGCAAGACACCTGAGGTATTGCTCCAATAATACCTCGGCTGTTTTCCGGGCAATTAGATATTTCCTTGCCCATTAGTAAGCATCCTAGGGCAAGGGCTGAATCTCATTTGTTTGTACTACACTGAAGACATTGTCAGTGCACAGTAAGCAACAGTATTCACATTTCTTTTTGATTATCATGTACTGTGGTTAACAGTTTGAAAGCTAGCTGTTCTCATGGAAATGTTTTTGTTTTTATTAAGATGACAGAGCAGCTTGCCTCACAAGCTCAGTAAAATGCAACTATTACAATAATTAGCAAGGGTTCTGCACCAAGTGAGATGTGTGACAAATGTAGTAATTTTAAATGGCAAAAGCCTTCTCCTTTTCTAATGCACATGCATTTAGCAGGCCATAGAGACAGACCAGAAACAAAGATTTGGGTTTATTTTTAAATATATTTGAAATTTGAAGTGTATCTTCTTCTGATAGTTAATGGTCAAGCACCAGTTGTAAAAGTTGACCATCTTTTTTAATATATATTCTCAATAGACTACAAAATTAAAATGGCAACATAGCCTATGACAGTACTAACAAGTGATCTCATTTAACTATTCCAAGTAAAATATATTACTTTCAATTTAGGAAATGGTCAAGTATTCTGTTAAAAGAAAAACAGACCACAATTTATTGCCTGTTTCTTTCCTCTATATATTTCTCACTGGAAACCCATCCCCTCTTAAAATTTCTTCTCAGAACAGATATTGACGCATCTGAAACACACGATCATTCATTTTACATCAAGCTTTACAAAGAGATGTATTGTCTTTTACATACAAGCCTTCAGATTTAGAACAGCCAAAAATCTTGAGTTTGTTTAATAAGCAGTCTAACACACACACACTCTTCAGATTTAGTTATTTAACTGATTTAGATGAATAAAAATGAAATGAATGTTATATAATCTCAACTATCAGAAAGGACAAATAGTTTTTTTAGCTGGGAAGTTCACTCAAGTCTCCTTAAAAGTGTTTTTGCTGTGTTACATGGTTCCTCATTTTTACATAGTTTGCCAAAACGTATAGTTAGGAAGTCACAGTTCCAGTAACAATTCAAAGCATTAATTAGATTTTAAATTAATGAAATCTAATGTCTATAATTTTAATTCAAAGGGCATGAAATATTTAGATATCCTACATAGCTGCTGCTTTTTATTTCACAGTAAATTACAAAATCATTGCATTAGCTGCTTTTATGAGTTCTTTACACAGCAGAATGGTGCATTAGTCTTGTTACAGTTTCTCTTTGTAGCTTCATGTTGTTTAATATCCGATTGAGAAAGTTAAAGAGTCAAATCTCCACTGAAAACTAATTAAACTTCTATTCTGAATTGACAGGAGTTATACCTGAATTAAGTACTGTAGGTTCAGGCTGTCCAGTGCAGGGGAAAAAATTACTCCTTTATTTTTGTAGAACCTTCAAATATAGTGTTTTGTTCTATTTCATTTCTTCTTATAGCTCTATAGCAGCAATACAGAGACCCACTGTTCCCAGACACAGATTCATCCATGCTTGTATGATTAATGATATTGTCGCACAAGAAGAAAAGTAAACCAAATGGATTCATATTGTTTTCTGCTGCACTGGGAAATCACAAATTATCCATTTGCCGGATGGAAAAGGAGAAAAATCAGCAGGGAAAGAAGATTCTAAACAGGGTAACTTAAGGCAGTGGTTCTCAACTTATTTAGCATTGTGGCCCACTGCCACAATTGGGCCAGCAGCTCCGACCCTGGACCCCAGACTCCCTGCCGCATGGGGCTGGTCGGCTTCCCACCCTGGATACCTGGTGATTGCCCCAGAGCTTGCAGGGCCGGGCGGCTGCCCCGGAGCTTGGATCCTGCAGGGCCGTCCAGCAGCCTCGATCCCAGACCCTCGCCATGTGGGGCAGGCCAGAAGCCCAGACCCCACCGTGCCCGGCAGCTGGGAACTTGGACCCTGCCGTGCGGGCCGGCCTATAGCACACAGTTGAGCTGGGCCACAGCAGTGTGCCACTGGTTGAGAACCGCTGCTTTGAGGCATGTCTACACTGCCCTGCATTTCAGATTAAGGGGGGTACGAATAGCAGTGCACAGAAAAGTGCTACACTGTAACTCCACTGTGTGGGCACTGCAGGCACAAATGTAAAGGTTTCAAGTTTGCTCTAAAATGGTTCTTACTCCACCACAGACTTCCTGTAGGACTTTGGGCAAGTCAGTTAGAACTTGTCTAGACGGAGCGTGTGTGGCAAGCCGGGGTATAAATCTACGGCACATTAGTATGACACACACTAACAGTCTGTGTGGATCCTGCTACAGCACACTAGGAGTATCCCATCAGAGTAGATCAATGAGCACTACAGAACTTTTAGTGCATGGTAGCAGGCTTCACACAGACAGTGCATGGCAGGCTAGCACATGCTAGATTTACACCCCAGCTTGCCACTCATTACTACTCATTTTCTAGATATCATCTATGAGTCATTTCCAAATGTCATTCTCCATCTAGACAAGCCCAGAGTCCCTCTGGGTCTCAGTTCCTCATCTGTAAAATGGGAATAATAGTATTTCTATACCTCAGAGAAGGGTTGTGATAAACTCACTAGAGACTGTGAGGCACTCAGATACTACTGAAATGGGAGGCCAATATAAATACGTAAAATTAGATTAAATTCATTAAAAGACTTATCATAGATAAATCATGTCATTTTTCAATGTGAGAAACACCAAAATATTTCCCTCTGATATCATTCAATTCAAAATAATTAATGTCACACACACAAAAAATATCTGCAACAGTGCTAGCTAGATCAAAAGTCACCATAGTGATGTTAGAGTCTTCTCAGAACTAAATAGCAGGCAATCTAGTTTAATTTTTTTGAAGATGCCTGCCACCATTATATCAGCACCACAGGCTGTGCAAGGCAGAAAGTCATTTATTCTGGAAAGGTAGCAGGGGCCACTGTGGTATCAACTGCAAGTGGAATCAGCACCTTTAGTAAATTCCCATTTAAAAATAAATAAAATTGCTGTTGTGCTTAAAAGGTTTGAAAATGTCATTGATATTTTTGGCATGCAGACTTCTTGTGCCTTCACAGCAAGCTGACTAAAATGAGCCTATAAGTAGGCTCCAAATCAATGTTACAGTCAATAGACCTCAATGACTCCCAATAAACATTCTACTGTCAAATCATTTCAGCATGTCTAAATAATCCACAGATTTTCTTGACCTGTAAATGAAGAGACACAAGGTGGGTGAAGTAATATCATTTATTGAACCAACTTCTATAAATGAAACTGACAAACTTTCAAGCTTACACAGAGCTCTTCTTCATCCATCTTGTCTCTCTATTATCCTGGGACCAACACAGCTACAACAACACTGCAAACAGTGTAAAATGAAGATGCGCTCAGACAAGACTGACTCAAACAAGCAGCATTTTAGGAACATTCTGTAGTCGAAATTCTGTTTAACTAACAAGTGTTTTTTCTTTTTAACCTTAGATACAGATATGGAACTATACATAGGCGTATCTCAGAATACAAAATTACATCTTTCTTCTGTATTACTCATTACTGCTCATTTTCTAGATATCATCTATGAGTCATTTCCAAAATGTCTGAGGTTCAACACTTCTGAACACAACGTATACAGGGTGGGAGGAGTGAGGGTGTCCATTTAAATAATAAAGAGGAACAAAAACCTTTCTGGACTTGTTGATGAAAAAAATTCAGTATAATGAGTTGACTGCAACTGTATCACATTTTGATGTTATCTTCAAATCTTTACACACGGGCAATTTTCCATTGTTAATGTGACCTAGTCATGTGAAAGATATTGTTAGCTCAGATGGAATAATTTGTTATCATGAAGACTCAATCTTGCAGACTAGTAAATGTGAAGTCAATATATTAACTAAATTTTTATTGAAGATTAAAAGGGATGTTCACAGTCCAAGTTATATGTTTAGCCAGTTACTAAAGAGAAGGAGGCAGATATACAGGAAAATATAGAGGAGCTGAGACCCTATAGGTTACAGTTAAATATATATTGCTCTTTTAAAAAATAGCATAGTGAAATTTTTTTAAAT